TGACAGCACGTCTGACAGTAACCGACCGTTTCCACTTACATTTTATTCTTGCCGCTCGATTCATTCGTGAAATAAATTATTGTTCAAGTTCATTTTATTTGGGCGCTACGACACGTAGATTTCTTTCTACGCGCGTTGGACGCAGTAGCAGAAACATTAATTAACGAGACAGCCGGGTAATAATAACGTTAAGCCAGATGAACATTAAATCTCGAACGACTTCATGTACATGTATATTGCTGCAATAATTGTAATCATAAAAACAAGTTGTTCAGTTTGTTTTCGTGCGCATAAGAGGAATGTAACGACGAATCTAACGACGCCATTGTATAATTTATCATAATTGAATAAAATTGTCTATTGTTACATTGGATAAATTGTACAAGTTGCAAATTGTTACGTGAATAAACTTGAAACTATATAAAATTCTACGAATCATTCTCTTTTTTCTTTTTCTTTTTTTTCCTTTCTCTGCAAAACCTGATTCGTTGCAACCTCCTTTTGTTATTTATAGAATTCTCGTTCTTCGCAACCACGTGTTCCAAAACTTTTTCTTCTTGAGATACAGACAGAGTTAACTTAAGTTAAGAAAAACTTAACTTCAAATGGTTATTATTAACCAATTATTCCCGATTATTATTTTATCGAAGTGAAATTTCTTTTAAATTTTCCCATTCGTCCATCTTTTCTCCAAACAAGTAACAAACGAGTTAAGAATAGAAACTCGATACGCTTCACTTACTTTTTTCACACGATACAATACAAGAAGTACCGTATCAATCGGATTCGAATAAATAAAAACTTTTATTCGAACCTCTTCCCGTTCGCTCCAATCGAATCGAAGCTTATCGATTATACCTCGGAATTTCCCCATCCTCTCCACTCGATCATCCCTCCGAGTCCCTCATTCGAAGTCGCCATCGCGGTTTGCATAATCTTCCCCGTGAAGTAAAAAGAAGAGAGAGAGAGAGAGAGAGATCGCCCACAGTGGTTCGTAAATCTTCTCGAGATCCGTTATCGAGAACGTACGAACAACTTCGCGTTTCCTAACGTCTGATCACAGTTCGAAGATACTACTACTACCACCACCACCACCACCACCACTAATGGAAGGATACACGACGCGCGCCGTTGAACGCGCACACATTCGGAATTCAATCCCTCGTACCAGTAACTTCGTTCTTTTTCTCTCTCTCTCTCTCTCTCTGTCTGCCCCCTCTCTCTCCTCCTAGCGAAAGATCGATCGACGCGTCATTCCCATTCCCAGAATCAATTTCTTCATTCGTCCCCACTTCTCTCACCACTTTACTACCTTCGGATCCAATTTAATCCCGATTTTTTCCCCCTTTCCCGAAACGTCTATATCATTACGCAGCGTTAAACACGCTCGCGATCAATCTTCCCTTCTTAAAGAATACTACGCAACCTTCTTCAACATTATTAAGATTAATTCCACGCCGCGAATAACCCGGCGTCGCGTCGTAATGACGCCGCGTACGAACACGGCCAACTCTCTAATTTATCAAACGGGGAGAAGAGGAATCACGCACGTTCTCGCTCTACTTACCGACCGGCCGGCCAATCGATCGACCGACCGCGCATCTCGTAACGCGCAGAGTACAATTCGCTGCGAAATTTTTGGAATATTTACGAGGAATTTCTCGAAGATTCGAGATCCGTTCGCAAAAATGGATGGAGAGGGAGGGTGGTGGTATTTTAAAGTAAATTTCTGCGCCTGGAAAAAAAGTTCCCGCGCGATTACACGTTTTGCATTCGGATAATATAATGTGACTTCACTTCGGTATATTCTGTATATTGGATGTATTCGTTGAAACCGATATTTGTGCATTAACGTTCGTGACGATCGTTCGTGGGCAGGATCTAAAGGATTTAAACGGGAAGTGGGCGACGTGATCGAATAAATATGAAGTATAAATGTGTATATATATATATATACAGTTTGATGTAACGCGAGAGAAGCAGAGAACACGCGTTGTCGTGCGTCGCGTATCACAGAAGTTAACTCGTATCTCGCGTGTTCAACCACGATACGTCTCGCTTGAATAATTTTAAGCCGCAAGGGGGGAGAGGGAGGGGAAGGAAGCTTTAACGCTCTGGCGTTTGTATCTTCTTTTTTTTTTTCTTTTCTTTTCTTTTTCTTACGGACCATGGTAAAATTTCAGATCGGTCGGATAAATCGCACCTCGGGTGAATTCTCGCCATTGAACGAGAACGAGGATCCCGAGGTCGAACGGATGGATGGATGGATAACTAGATGCCGGGTTATTTTTTTCGAGGAAAGAAAACGAAACGACGGGTGCTTCGTGGCAAAAAAAAAAAAAGCACGAAGTAAATGAAAGGCTTAGGGATAATTTGAATTTGAAATTAAAAGGGATAAGAGGGATTAGGACGTGGGGAGGATCGGGAGCGTGGCGTGAAATTCGTGGATTAAACGCGTCGTCGTGTCTAATTTGATGCGACTCAAATTTATGGCGATTTAATTAAAAAGAAGGAGAGAAAGAAAGAAAGAAAATATAATGTCTCGGGACGAAATTAATATGTGAGAAGATAAGATATATTAACTGGTTCTGCAACTTTGTATCCTCGCGAATGGCCGGCTATCACCTGTCGGCCAATTTCCATTTAATTTTTCGAACGAATTAAAAAAAATCCTTGAAATATTATTCGAACGTAATCCCTTAAGAAATCTTCTTAAAGAAATTTTTAAATCACTTGTTCGACCCAAAAACCCTCCACTCTCTACAACGGATCAAACAACACTTTTCACATGGATCCAAAACGAACGAGCGAATGAAGAAAAGAGAAAAAAGGGGGGACGAGAGCGCGACCAGAGTCGAAAACAGCCTCGAGGCCATCGATTCGACGCAACAACGCTACAGGAACAACACTAGCGCCGCGAGTAAAATTTTATAGTGGCTCGAGAGAGCCTAGCGGTTGTCATACACGCGTAATCTCATACTCCACGCTGGCAAACGATCGAACGTTCCGCGAAGGGAAGCACTTAGACCAGCCACCATATCTCGCGGATCGATCCTACTTTCCATCCGACCGACCCTGTCTCATCGACGCTATTTTCTCCGATCTTTCGTCCTCGAATCACGTTTATACGTTTTCCCCTTTCATACCGCCAATTTTCATCTTCGTTCGTTCTTCTCACTGTGCCTCACTTCCTTTCTTTTTTTCAAATTAATTTTTGCACCGTTTCTTTTTCTTCTTATATGTGTGTACGCTTGGCTTCCATCAGTCGATGGGATTCGATTCGTTCACTCGATCGTCGTGTGACAATCTGACGATTGGAAATAAAAAAAAGGAGGGGGGGAGGGGAGTCTGGGGACTTATTACGCCGCGGTAAAACGAGGCGTACGTTGTTAATTAATCGTCCGAGCAAGCCTCGAGTTATGGCCGAGCAATTAACCGACGAGTAATTAACAGCGGTCCAACGAGACGTCGGTTTTTAAATGGCGAGCGGATTGTGTGTGGTAGGAAGGGGAGTACATCATCGATGCCCTAACGAGTTTCTAGTCGATTTCATTCCGTTACGATGTTACGATTCCGCGATATTATATACCTTATGTACTTGAATCGTGAAATTAAATCTCTTTTTTTTTTTTATCAATTAGCCGTAAAATTTTTTCGATTCGATATTATTGATATTTTAAGTTATACGAATCTCGAGCGTAGAGTTATACCTATACGTATACACGCGTATAAAAGTTTCCAGGCAATTTATTCACCTGAGCGAATAACGAATTGATTTATTAAGCGGGTAAATCACGATTCATTTCTCGGAGATAAGAACACTATCGGCTTGGATGGAAAAATGTATAGGATACAGGTGACAGTAGACAGTTAGATAGGCACGAAATGCCTAAAACCTAGTGGCGAATCGAGCTAACCTGTTATTCAACTTCTGTGATACGATAATACGAACAGAGACCGAACGAACGAGTTCATTTTTATTTTATCGTATTCTCTTCTTCCTGAAAAGAAGAAAGAGTGCCAAATTTCCCATTAATTCGATAATTTTCGATGGGTAGACGCGAGTGGCGAGTGTGGCGACCTCTCTTATTCGATTTATAGGTTAGGGATCCGCGATATCTCGAGCGTATCTCGTCGCCAGAAGAAAGAAACAACGCCACCAGTGAGTGAGTTTCACACGAACCGTCTATTACCGTCGCGGTTTCGATTTCTCTAAAAATGCATCATGGCGGAAAACGCGCGTAACAGATGATTTCCGACGCCATCTATATAATTCTTTGGGATGGCGCGCGCGCGCACGATAATTTGTACGCTTAATGATTCGCGTATTAACCGGTGGTTCTCCCTTTACCCGGTGATCAGTCATAACGCGATAAGCGGACGATAACGCGGGAAATATCGCCGACACAATGAACGCCGCGTATTTCATAGCGCGCCTGCCTTCTTCCTCCACCTTCGTCCAGCCACCGATCGTTGACTTTTAATTGCTACACGAGAAACCCGAGACGTCACCGCGTTGATTTTCCACGCCGATTACCCCGCCAACCCATTCCACCTGCCCGAGAATCCGGACAAGTGAGCGTATCCTCGAATACACGAGCATGAAACATAGAAGAAATACACGTATATATTGCTGCGTTCAAAAAGTGAGTGTGTGTATGCGAAAGAAACGTATACTGTTGCTCAAAAGTATTCGAGGGGTGAGTGTATGTGTAGTATAGATATGGAGAAATATACGTATATTATTGTTCGAAAATATTCGAAGAATGGATACGTGCATGAAAATACGGAGAAATATCGGTATATTATCGGGGAAAAGTATTCGAGGGATGAGTATGAAGATACGGAGAAATATACGTATAGCTATTGCTCAAAAATATTCGAATGATATTTTTGAGCATGCGCGTATGAAAATATATTATTCGAAATATTCGAAAGGATATCGAATGTACGTAGGATATATGAAATAATCAAGGATCTGTAATGATTTTATTCTCCGATTACAGCAGATACGAATATACTATTTCTTCGGGTTTAATTTATTAAACCTATTTATTATAAGATAAGATTCTTTTAAAAGTCTACTGATGTTAAATTTATCAATAATGATTGTACGACAGTTAACATTTAATTCCAACATATAGGAAATATGTTTTATCGCACGATTTTATATTTCTAATCTATAAACTGCACAAGAGCTACATAATAAATACAATAGTCGAACATTAGTATTATTCAATGACAAATTTACTGATTAAAAGATATACGTATTTGCTCATGTAATACTTGAGAGATTATAAAATTAGGATTATATTACTTAAAAAAATATTAATCAAACATTCGAAATTTTAACATGAAAAATAAAATATGAAAAAAAGATTATAAGAACTCGCAGCATGTTCTCACTTGTTCTCTCGTTCGTCCGCATCGGAGACTCTTAAATTTTCGATCAAAATTCAACGAAATTCACACGAAACGCTCCATAGAAAAACAGAAAGACAGGAATACCGCGGTAAATTAGCGAGGCAGGTCCGGTGTAACGCGATCTGCCGACACGGCTGCTAGGATCAAGCCAGATACGCTTGAATATTAAGGCTTGCCGCGGGACTTTGAGCGCGATAAGGCATTTAATACTCGCCACCGTGTTCACGGCGCTTTTTCGAATTCGCCGCATAGCTTCGTCCCTCCTTCGTCGAACGGGCAGACGAAAATATTGCGCGCGGCCTCCGCAAAACGATTTTTCACCAACCGCGCTCACGATTATCGCGGGGATAACTCCTTTTCGCGTGAACCGTTACCGACCTGCCTAGTTACTACTGTCCACGGAACGAATTATGCCCGAACGTATTAAGGTGGTAAATCACCTTCACCGTGGCGCGCCATCATTTTTCCAACCGGGCCGATTTACAATGGCGCGCCTGATCCCCCGCCTTCTACGTCTTTTTCACGCGGAAACGCTCGAATTTAGAGTTCAGAAAACAATTGACAGCTACGGTCGAGATTTATACCTCGGCTCGTGAAATTGAAATTGCTTCGCAGAGTGTTTACGGCGAATCGAAATGAACGTTTGTCGCGAAGCATTATTTTTCGCGTGGGTCTCGATTCGTCGAGTTATTTTTGTCTATTGATTTTTTCGAAGGCTTCGTTTTACGTAAAGTAGATAGATTTTGTAAGAGAAATTCAATAATATGTTTTCGTGCGGAAACTTTGGGTTTCGATTTGGTTAAATTAGGTTAGGTTAGATTAAGTGATAAATAGAAGAGAGAAGATCACGTTCACTCGAATTCGTTAACTCGAAAGTGCAAATTGGAATAAATCTATTCCAGCGATTATTATTAGATATCATCGATATTCTCTTAAACACGACTAAATAATATAATAAAGGAAATTTGTTTTCCAATTTCTTACAGTTTCCGCACAAAACTATTAACATATCTACGTTTGTTTTTGACATCTTGTTTATAAGTACTATTCGCGAAATAAAACGAAAACTTTTCCATATAATTACCTTCGATTCTTGTATCTATCTTCAATCTCATTTCTCGCGTACAAGGAGAATTTGCACATTTAGCACACGGCGTACGTTACACTATATTCATCGACACTCTTGTCTCATCCTTCACCAACGCATAAACGCACACCGATTCTCTCGAATCCCTTCCAATATTTGTTTCCTCGCTCTGTCGGATTCGTATTCCTTCAACTTATCTTCGAAACTCTTGCTCACGATTCGCATAAATCTTTTCTGCACATACACCCGTTTGTTAAAGCTTGTCCAAAGTGATCGGTCATCTTCAGCACATAACCAAACTTTTTCTCTTTTTCATACGTTCGCGATATTTTTCTCTGAAAGAAAGAAATCGACGCAAAAAGAGAAATATCGTATACCTATCAACAGCTATACATACTTACCGATGAATAATCATCCACGTATCCTCGACAAGATCCAGCCAACCATGAACACTTTGCTAAAATCCGCCAATCTCTCGCCATTTCCACGCGGCGTATAGCATAAGCATGGAGAGTTGGTCGGCAGAAGCGCATGCGTGCCGAGATGAGAAGGAGATGCGAGAACGATCTGGTAACGAGTCGGCGGCATCGCAAAGCGAACACGATCTCCGATCTCTGGGATCTCGGTCGGCCGCTGCTAAGCGTGCACGAGCGCGTTTCTCTCCGCTCCGCTTGGGAACGACGACGATGACGAGAATGACGAGGAAAATGAGGACGACGAAGACGAAGACGAAGACGAAGAGGAGGACGACGACGACGACGACGACGACGACGAATCGCGGCGTGACTCGCTTCGATCGCGATCTCTCGCGATCGTTCCGCCTTGCTGATGAGCCGTACTAGCCGCATAGCTGATGGGATCTGACGTTTTTCAGCGACGGACCTCTTTGAGTCGTGTCTTGCCCGGATCATGGAGATCGAATGCTGCAAGCGCGAACCTGCTTGCTCGCTCTCATGGAACTTCGCCTCGACTTTTTTCTCCCATTTTTCTTTTCGGTACGTGAAAATTGACTTCTTTTATCTCTATACTATTATAACCGTGTATTCGAAACATCGTTGCATATAGTTTTTGTGTTCGATATGTGGATATATTTTGCTTGCGTATTGCATCGTTATTATATTTATATCGAACATTCCTTATACTTTTTTTTTTTTCATATTTGCATTAAAGAACCAGTGTCTGTTAATGAAAGTTATTCGTGGGTACGTTTTTATATTTTTTTGCATTAATACGCATACTCGTAGTAAGTTAAAAAAAAAAAAAAAAAAACGAAATTTCGCAATTTTTTCGATTCACGTTATTAAATTACATCAGTCGTAATTAAATATCCCTTTTCACTGTCGACTCGAAAATGTTATTCCGCGTACAGGTAATGACTCATTTACCTGTTTTAAATAAACTTACTTCTTACTCAATACGCATTCCCACAAAATTCCTCGATACTTATTATTCGATTATTCAGTCAGATAGAAAAACGTATAAAAATATTTCGACAGATCTGATTTAATTAATTCATTTGTATCGGAAAATTTTCAAATGTGAATTGCACTGATCGATCTCCAAACCCTTCGTATATTCGCTTTCCAAAATTATCGATCAACTGATCAAATTCTTCTATCTCGAAATACATCGAGAAACAGAAATTTTTCTATTTCTCCGCAAATCTTTTCTTCTCTTCATCTCGTTTATATCGACCTTGGAATATTTCACAATAATCTCGCATAATCTCGAAGCTTGGAGGCGATCTATGGCCTTGTTATTCGTTTTTAATTAACTCCGCGTTAATTAGCATCGTGTTGCATCGCATAAATGTTGGTACGCACGCGCGTAAAATCACGTTTCGATCGATCGATCGTGATTCCAATTTTCTCTCCCTCCCTCTTCTCTTCTTTTCTTTCCATCTATTCTCGCCAACCGTACGAATACCAACGGAGATCAGTTATCTGTGCGGAAATTAAATGGCGCGAAACGATCATATTTTACGCGAAACGTTTTACGATGGATCGAGGGGAATTGGAAATTTCATGTGATGAGAAGTACGATGATTTTTTTTTTTCCTTTGTTTTCCTCCATCTCGTGATTCTTATCTCGAATATCGAACACTCTTCCAATTTCTTTATCAACTCAAGAATGCAATTATTCGCAGTACTCGAACTCTTTTTGGAATAACTTTCCAATGAATATCAAAAAAATCTCATTTTAAATAAAAAAAAAAAAAATGCCAAATCGATAGAAAGAAAAAATTTAACTCTCTTAAGATACACATAAGAAGGATTCAGAAATTAATTAATTCACATTTTCTAAAAGTGGCTTACGTAATTCAAAGAACTCTTTATCGTTTGACAAATCGATTAATAAGTAAACTTCGATAATTTAATTATTCGATTAAAGGAAAAAGAGAAATCATGTAATCAATTATTACTTCAATACCCGTACAACGAAATTTCACGAAAATTAATTATCCAACATATATCACTCGCGCACGATAGACACGTGTTAAACATCTGTTCAAATTTAAATTCAATGTAAAAGGTTAAAAAAAAAAAAAAAAAAAAAAGAAAAGAATTCAAATTCCTATTAATCGCCGAAGAAGAAGAAAAAGAAGACTCTCCTCTCGAATTCGTCCCTTCTTTTCTTTTCGCTCGGTGAAAGGAAAAAAGGAGTAAGAGGAAAGGGAAAAAAAAAGGGGAGAGAAGAGTTGCCGGTGGCAGCTCGTTGTATGAAATTCAATGTCGATCGCGCTGACATCGGCTTCGCGATTCCACGGGAATCTCAAGATCGATCGATCGCGATTTCGAGGGAGAAGACGCGCCGCTTAAGGCGAGATACTCGAGCGTTGTTCGTCGCTCCTCAGCCTCGAGTTTCTTCGGGATCGTCGGCCTTGTACGGCCGCGCCACGACGTGGCAGGTGCAACCTCGACGACCGGTGGGTCCCTTTTTTCCTCTCCCTGCCTCCGCCGCCGTTTCTTCCTCCTTTTTTTCTATCCTCCCTCCTCCTCTCGCCACGGACATCCACCGCCGCAGTTTTTCGTCTCGCTCGCCCCTCGAACAGCTGACCACGGGCCAACCTTGGCCGACTGATTGCACGCCGAGTCCCACGCCACGAGTGAAACTCATCGATCGATCTCACGTTCCCTCTTCCTCTCGTTTTCCCTCCTCTCTCCTTCCACGAGAATCCTGCTGATAGATCGGGAGAGTGATTGCAACTTTTAACACTGTAGGGTGTTAAATTAGGATTTAAATCGAAATTGTTGAAGTGTATCGAATAATTTTTAACACTAAACCTACCACGCCATCGTTTCTCCGAAATTTCCTTCAGATTTTCTTCTACACAAAGTTACAATGTATGACTTTACAATTGACACAAAATTCGGTGTAGATATATCACACATTACTGTAGCGCCAGAAAAATATTTCGTTTAATATCCAATTAGTTAAAATCTCTTTCTGTATCAAGATACAAGTGTTTCTCTTTTGTCATTTGACCGCTCATGGTAGGAATGCATGAGATGTCGGTAGGTTTAGTGTTAAAATTTGGGGAATGCTACACCATAATTTTCAGTTAGAAAAAGTTCCTTCTGTGATATTCGACGAAAAAAAGTCTCACATTGTCGTAGCCTGAAAAAAGAAAAGAAAGGCAACGTGATGGGACGAAAGAAGAAAAATTCGAGCAGATTTCTCGACGCGGAATCTAGGGGAAGGGGAGGAGGGTAATCCCGAACGTGGTTTTGTCACGAGATGGAGAAAAGGACGTCGTCATGTTAAGCGGCTTAGGCGGCCACCGATCGAGTTCAAGCTTATGATTTCTCCCCAATCATTACGATTCCCTTTCGAGATCGGCATCGATTTCTTCGGTGTTTCGTATCGAATTGCCGCCCTCCTGGCGGCTATCTTCGGGCCCTAATGCGATCTCGCCTCCTCTCGCGCTCGGCTATTATTAAAATATATATATATATCGGCAGGCGACCAGTTCTCTTCGAGTAGAGTGATCGCGGCATGGCTTCGAGGAGGCTCTGCAAGTACTGTAATTTCGAGACACGAGGTAGATAATCTTGAAATATCGAACTTGTTGCAAAATAGGATGCGGAAAGTCTTGTAATCCGTGGTTAACGGTTCTTCGTTGCGAAGGGTGGATCCGTGGAAAGTACGCGAAGAAAAATTAACGGGATTCGTTTTTTCTTTCCTTCTCGGTTACTTTCTTTGCACTGTTCGTATATGGAGGAAAATAGGGGAAAATTTGAAAATTTGTAACGGATTCATTTTTCTTTTTTTTCTTTTTCTGGAAAGGTAGAAAAGGATACAACAACGATCGAATAATTTTTTTTTTATGTTGTTCGTGCGAAAATGTATATAAAAGAAACAGGGACAAAATTAAGGGGGTTCGTTTTTCTTTTTTCTTTCTGGAAAGGTGAAGAAAAGGATATCTTCATTATGAAAATAATCGAACAACTTTCTTTATATCGTTCGTACGAGAATAGTGTACGTAGTGTACGTGGTTTTCAAAAAATTAAAAAAGCGAGAGAATAATTTAAAATCGAAGAGATTGTAATTTTCTACCCGATACAGCAGTGCAGCATTGGCTGAGGATAGAAAAACTTGTAGAAAATTTTCGAGATGTAACGAATAATTCTTCTTCTTCTTCTTCAATATCACAAATCGCTGAATGCGCGTCAATCAATTAATATCTATTACAATAATATCACAACAATGATGTATAATTTTTGGAAGGATAGAAAAATGATTTTCTAGAAGAAAAAAAAAAAAAAATTATTAGCGTTAAAAAGGCGGAAAGAGTTTAGTTTACACGGGAATCGGGCGACAATATAAGCTCGTAGTTGCGCGGACAAGATTTTCGAGATGTAACGAATAATTCTCGTTTACGACGTGATAAATCGCCGAACGCGCATGAATCGCAATTAATATACTCGCGCCACAGTTCGCGAACGTTCGAGCGCGGCCGTTAAAAACATCGTAAGAATGCCTCCGTTCTGTTCCGATAGGTGCGCGGTTCTAATAAATTTTAAAAAGCAGATCGTATCTACAGCTGAAAGTGTTCTGCGCTGGCAGATAAAAAGGGCCCAGGTTTCATGCTCGATGAATAAAATCATTAAAAAATCGTTTTCTTACGATTTCCAGCCATTCTTATCAGATTGTCGCGCAATGTAACTGTCTGTCATACCAATGATCCCCGTCAGATATAATACGAAATACGTTATCACGTGTCATTAATTGAAAGTTTATTTTATCTCTGGCTTACACAGAAAAATAATATAAAAATTTGCGTAATAAACGGGTTTCTATACGTACGCGCGCGCGCGCGCGCGCGCGTCGCGTGTACGTGTAACCTCGGTGGCTCGGCTATTATTATATCGACGCAATAATTCGAACGAGTTCGGAGAACGTCGGCCTCCCAATGTCTCAACGCGCTCGTAAGGAGCCCCGGTTTCCGCCATTTTGCGCAGTTTGTAATGCGAAAATAATAATGCCGCCGCCGTTTTACGACCACCGGATTTATGTCGACCACGATGATGAAATCCAGGCCTTGCAATCGCTACCACTTTTTCACCTCCTCCTCCTCCTCCCCCTCCCCACCTCGAGCGCATTTGCGTTTTTAAAGAAAAAGAAAAGGGGGGGGAGGGGAAAAAAAAAGAAAGAAAACGCAAACTGAATTCACCGAGAGCTCGAAGCGAGTTGAAAAGGATCGAATTTTCTAATATTCCTGCAAGCTTGTCCGGCAATAGAACGAGCCACCTGCCGACGCTGATATGTTTATCCGGTGCGTCGAAGAAACGAGGAGTAATTTGTCTGCAATGGAAGGAAAGGCGTGTAAAAAAAAGAAAAGAAGAAAAAGGAGGAAACGCGCCGATATTTCGGCCTTCCGCGTGAAACGCGATACCGTGCAACCGGTTGAAAGTGGGGGAGAAAAAGGGAATCGGGGAGGGGAAAAAAATCGAAATGATAACGATGATAAATAGCCGGGAGTGAGCGCGGCCATTTAAAATCAGTGGTTCAGCGCTATTGAACAAGGATGCCAAGGAGCGTTTCGGTGCGCGCGCAACGCGGATCTATGGGAATAGAGTTGCGATCGATGATCAGGTATAGCGAATATTGACGTTATAAAGAATAAGGATTTCTTACGATACGAAATACTTTTCTAAATAGCGCGAAACATCCGTCAATTAATTGATAATTAGAACCAGAAAGAAAAAGAACGTGTGTTGGTACACACGAGAACGAAAATATGAAACGATAAAAATTCTGGATAGTTAGCGCGTTCCCTCGTCTTATTTCTCTATGCGGTATTAATTCTCGAGACAAAGGAAAGGAGAACGATCCATCGCGCAGGAGGGTTGCGCGCGTCGGAGCAAGCTTTTAACGAGGAGAGTATGACTCACGAAAACGCGGCCAGTTTCGCCCCACCACCACCTGAGACCTGTTTTTCTTCCTTCCTCCTCCAGTTCTCCTTTGCTACCTTTATCTCCGTTGATCCCGATTGATTTATGCGCACGCGCGCCGCCGCCGGTAATTAATAGAGATTACGGCCCCGTCTCGAGGAAACTCGTATCCTCGATGCTCACCGCACCTATCGAGATTCGATAATCGAGCATTCCGGTCGCACACCACCGGTAAACAGCGAGGATATCGCTTTCGATCGCTCTCCTTCTCTCCTCTTTTATATCCTCCCTCCTTCCTTTTTTCGTTGGATCACCGGTCGGTATAAAAGAACGGTGATCACCAGTTCCCTCACGATCGGTTGCAGAGCAAAGGGAAAACGTAATAGGCCCGGCAGAGAAGCTAGAACGCTGACCCGTACTTGCCGGCAATTGCAGAGTAGAAAATGGTCGCGGGCATTGTAGCGAGGATCGGTGGAAAGCGAAACGGCCGGAATAACAACAACTTGCTTTTTCGATTCTCTGTCTAAAGTTTACTCGTCTAATGGCGGTGTTCGAGCGCGAGCACTGCTATTTTCATACCTTTCCGTTGCCTCGCTCGCCCGCTCGCTCGCTCGACCTCCCCCCACTACCACTATCCACGCCGTGGTGTAACCGCAAACAGCGATAAAGTTAATTGGGCGAACGAGAGAATGAAAGTGACGAATTTCGACGAAGCGACGCGTTTCGTCTCGATCTGTTGTTGTTATTCGGGGCAAGAATCGATAATAACGACGCTTAGACGTTATAGAGAAATATATATACGAAACGAACGATTCCGGTGTCCCTTGCCCTC